ACTCTGGAGAGGTCTTTGACAAAAGATTTTCCTAATGTAATTTGTCTTTTCATTTCCTGACTGTTGGTATCAAACGGATTGTGGGCCCAAACAAGCTGAAATTGTTAACAATTTCAGTCTCTTCTCCATATATCATGGCCCAAAGATGAGAATCCTTCTTTTCTTAATGTTGAGCTTCTATACATATTGCAAACTATTAATGAGATCCTTGATATAGGCAACAAAACCACATCCGCCATCTTATCACAGACATAGGAATGAGGCAAAACAGTAAGTGGTACTAAGGTGAATCTTAGGGGAGCTAACGGTAAGGAGTTGTGCTGCCAATCCAAAGGCATATGGTTCAATTCCATCAGCTTCTTCATGGGAGAAAGATGGGAAATCTCCTTCTGTGTTTTATTGCCTCTGAAAACTCACTGAAGGGTCAGATATGAGTCTCTTTCTACTCTATGGTACAGAAGAATAAGGCAAACCTGAGTTTGAGGTGAGTTCATTTAACCCAGATTAGCAGGGTATAAAATGTAAATGATGCAGGCCATAAGCTATGTCCCTTTGTTCTTCATGAACAAAAAACAAAAAAAAAATGGAAAGAAGGCCACTTCTATTTGCTAACACTGTATGTGCATAATAAAATAGATGTCAGAAGAGACTCTGAAAATTGCACTGGAATAGAGTTGTTGTTATGTGCCATTGAGTCACCTGCCACTCATTATAAAGAGACTAAAATAAAGGGAATAAATATTGAAGCAGACAGATGGAAAGAAGATTTCAAAGGGCAGCTTGTGAAGAGAATAATAATAAGAATAATAGCAAAATAGGCAAAGAATTGGAGTTAGAAAATAAAGGAAGGAGTCACCTGGCATTTCTCAAGCTGAAAAAATGAAAAAACAAATCCAAGCCCTGAACTGAAGGATACTAAAGGAAAAATCTTGAGTGATGCAGGAAGTATCAAAAGATGGAAAGAATACATACTCACTGTACCAAAAATAACTGGTGACACGGAACCATTTTAGGAAAAAGCATATGACCAAGAACCAGTAGTAAAGAAGGAAGAAATTCAAGCTTCACTCAAGGCATTGGCAATCATAAAGCCTTAGGAATTGAAGGAACTGACTGGAAAAGACATTTATCTATTCCCATTCCCATTCCCATAAAAGGTGATCCAATATAATGTGGAAATCACTGAACAGTATCATTAATATCACATGTAAGTAAAATCTTGATGAAGATTATCCAAAATCAGCTACAACAGTACACTGACAGAGAATTTCCAGAAATTCAAGCTGGATTTGGAAGAGGCCATGGCACCAGGGATCTCACTGTTGATGTGAGATAGAAGATCTGGGCTGAAATCAGAGAATACTAGGGTATCTTTTTATTATTTATGAACTATGCAAAGATATTTGACTGTGTTGATCATAACAAACTATTGCTAACAATGACAAGAATGAGAATCTCAGAACACTTAATTATGCTCATGTAAAACCTGTTACTAGACCAAGAAGCTGTTTTCTGAACAGAGCAAAGGAACATGGCATCATTTAAAAGCAAGGAAGTTGTCTGTTAGGGCTGTGTCCGTTCTCTACATCTATTCAATTTGTATGCTGAACAAATAATTTGAGACACAGGACTCCATAAAGAAGAATGTGGGCATTGAGATTGGAAACAGTCAGGTGGAGATCATTTCCAACATCATCAGGATTGGAGGAAGACCCAACAGCAACATTCCTAATGCAGATGGCACAACCTTGCTTGTTGAAAATGAGGACTTGAGATGCTTGCGGCAGAGGATCAAGGATTGCAGCCTTCAATATGGATTACATCTCAACATCAGGAACACACAAATCCTCACCACTGATTCTATGCACAATATCATGATAGATTCTCTCAAGAGAAGACTGAAGTTGTCAATGATCTCATCTTGCTTAGATCCAAAACCAACACCCTTTATTACCAGAAGTTGTCAGATTTGGAGAGTTATAGCATTGGAAAAATCTGCGGTCAAGGGGTTCTCCAAAGTCCTGAAAAGCAATAATGTCAGTCTAAAGACTAAGGTGCATCTGATTCAAGCTATAGTCTTTCCAAATCATTTTACTATGCTGGACAATGATTAAGACTGACAGGAAAAGGAATCAATGACTTAGTTGTGATGTTGGAGAAGGGCACTGAATATCCCATGGACTGCCAAAAGGACAGACAGGTAAGTCTTGGAGAAAAGAAAACCAGAATGCTCCTTGAAGGCAAGGATAGTAAAGCTTCATCTTAAATACTTTGGGCATGTTGCTAGAAGAGGATATTCTTTCGAAAGGGCAATCATTCTTGGAAAGGTAGACAGTCAGTGAAAGAGAGAAAGACCTTCAATGTGATAGTGACTTGAAGCAGTGGCTGAAGGGTCAAGAGATTGTGAGGACGGCACAGGATACTATGTAATTTGTACACAGGGTTGCTGTGAGTCTATACGACTCAACAGTACCTAACAGCAATAATCAATGTATACTCTTGTGTGGAAGAAAAAATAAAAACTCAATTCAAAACTCATTGCCATCGAGTTGGAATGGATTCATAGCTAACTCTACAGTGGGCTTCCAGAGGCTATAAATCTCAAGGGCCGATTCTTCTCCTGCAGAGCTGCTGGTCGACTCAAACCGCCAGTTTTTGTCTGTGCCGTCAAGTCTGAAGCCTGCCCTATCCTGAGCCAGTCTCACTGGACTCCTACACACCTACACCCATTGACCCAGTTACTCTATCAATCCATCCCATGTCAGGTCTTCCTCTCCTGCACTGTCCCTCCAGCCTTCTGAGCATGATGTCCTTCTCCAAGGATCGATCCCTCCTGGCCACATGCCCAAAGTATGTGAGACGGAGCTTCAAAATCCTAGCCTCCAAGGAGAAACTTGGTTTTCGCCCTCTCTAAGACAGACATATTTGTTTTCTTGGCAGTCCACGGTATGTTCATGACTCTCCTCCAGCACCACAACTTGAACAGCCAAAGGCCTAGTCTTGGATAAATTATATCCGTTACTATACATTTATTGTTTTTGACTGCCGTGGAGTCCAGCACGACTCATAGCGACCCTATGAACAAAAGACCTGAACCTTTCTATAACTATCGTTGTTTCTTAAAGTTCATAGTTTCCAGAGACATGGAGTGGATGCCACTCTACTACACAGTTACGTAGACTGAATTCACCATCAAAATACAAGCACAAAATATGTAACACCCACCCACCTTGCCCGCTAACCCAACAGCACTGTGGTTACGTCAGAAGAAAACTGCACCGCGAATACCTGTCTAAGTGCCTCTGTTCTGGGCAAAATTGCCAAGAGGAAGTTAGTTCTCCCTCCTGGCGTAAAAGGTGACGTAACGCTAATTGCTTTACGGCAGTCCGCTTCCGCCGTAAAGCACCCTTGATGAGCTCACATGGATTACTTGACAGAGTAACTTTCTCCTGAAAAACGTGGCGTTTGTAGGTGGGAAAACTTGAGGGTTTTGCCATGGGTAAACGCAGGAGCCGGAGCCAGAGCCATCTGCTTAACAGCCTAACTAAAAAGCAGAAGAAGCATCTTCGCGATTTTGGCGAGGAGCATCCCTTCTTTGACAGGTATGGCGGGGCGACGCGGAAGCATCTGCCAGAATTTACCCGGCTTGAGGTCCGCCAGCCTCCGACGTGGTCATGACGGCAGCACCTGCTACCCACACGCTTTCCTGGCGCCCGAGGTGCTCGGAGTCAGGCCCCTGTGTGCTTTTCTGAGGCAGATTTTGAGTTGATGCTCTTCTAGATGGAGTCACTTACCTATAGTTGAATGGGTAACTGTTAGACGACACGCCCATTTTTATGTGGACGGAGTTGTAGGGTCTGAGCTCTTCTAAGATTGTTTATAAATAATTTGTTGGCGTCCTCGATATCATTTTCATATAGGCATTTACTGCAGAGAGCCAATATATTTGGTGAAGGCTGTGTATTCTGCAGTTGGCGGATTCCTCTTTAATTGTTTATACTTTCAGAGTTACGGTCTTAATACTCATCTCGCCCCTCTGTTGACGGAACATTTTTTTAATTAAGAGGTTTACTAATAAAACAGGGACGGCAAATCTTTTAACTACTAAATTGTTGTTTTGGGTTTGTTTTTTTTAAAATCAGGATCAGTGGTTATCTGATTCCACTATCTCTCATGACCTCTTTGCATGTTTTGTCAGTTTTTATCCATTGTTAACGTTTGTACTATACCTGCCCAAGTTACTATGTTGTTTTTACTTTAGTTATAATGTGCATGCAATTCTGTGTTCTCCTTTTTCCCCCCCTCCAGTTAAAGTTGCTCTTAAGCTTTTTTTGTAGTAGTTATTAATATTATAACATTGCTTTCTCCTAGGGTTTCAAGAACAGAAGCAAAACCACAGATATGCCAACTGGTAATGCATTATACTATTGTTCTGCTTGTTACTTTTAAGAGAATATATAATAATAGGTCTTGCCTACATATATTTTAAAGAAAATTATGTATAGGCTATTGTTTTAGTAATATTGTTTAGTTTTGGAAGAGAATATATATTAAAATGCCATTGTGATCACTAATATGGACACCTGAGTTTGGAATGGTTTCAAGTTTGAAACTGATCTGTTAGGTTCAGAGACTCTTAGAAAATACTAAGGGGGACTTTTTATTTGCTTTGCATGAATGGAGCCATAAACAGAGTACAAAATAAACAAAAGTCCTATTTCATTTCAGTAAGTGTTAAGTTTACCACATTGTTTTTGAACTATAATTTACCTTGTTGCCTCTTTAAGCATGGGTTTTGTCCTATGTCTGAGACATAGTTTAAATTTTATTAAAATGTAACATTCTGTCTTAAATTTTTATTCTTCCTATTTAGGGCATTAGCTATTTAGAAAATATGAAGAGCTTCTAGTATTAATATCTAGTTTAATTTAAGTAAACTTAACGCAAGATTTGGTTGGATAGGTAGGACTGCATGATATATGCAAGCAGAAAAAGTGAATTTCAGTTTGAAAAGCCTGAGCCTTGAGCTCACCCAAGGGGACAATAAAAATAGTACAGTTTTTGGTTTTTAAAATTCCTATCTTTCCTTCAGTCAGAGAATTCAGATACTTCAGATTCTGAAAGTGGAGCAGAGAGTGAGCCGGAACAGGTTTCTGGGTACCACAGACTACTTGCAACACTGAAGAATGTTTCTGAGGAAGAAGAAGAAGATGAGGAGGAGGAGGAAGAGGAAGAAATTGCAGATGAAGGACCAGAAATGAGTGGTGAAGATGATGATAGTGATGCCAGTGTGGAAGAAGAGACGGCAGAATCTGCTGAAATGCAGGAAAGTAAGTGTCACATCTTTACAAGATGACAGATAGTGTGCCTTTGGTTCTGTACCTTATACTGTGTGAGTTGGGACTAAGGACTTTAATATATAAGTAAAATTCTTTGTTTGAACCCAAGAAAATGCTCTCACTTGAAATGCAAAAACATTTTACTTATGATTTCGGTGATTCTAAAGTCCCCCAGACTTCTAGTATTATAGAGATACTAAACAGTATCTATAAAATATATATTATCAAGCAAAGTGAACATTGTTCTGTCTTGATGAAAAGTTTATTGAGAGGGGACTATTCCCTTAGAGGAAAAAAAAAGGTAATGGGAGAGAAACATAAAATATGCAAACATGTTCATGCAGCTTATTTATATGGAACAGCTGCATTAAAGGTGATGTTGGGATGAAGAGTAGTCACACTGCAGGGTATGTTACAGAGAATTTACATATTTAAAACCAAAGGGTGATATTAATAAATGTAGCTGTTATGAGACTTTTGACAGATGTATACATATACATTCATGTCGATATTGTGAGTCATGGAGTTAACTTCTGACTCACTGACCTTGTAAGACACAGCAGAATACCCATAGGCTTCTTAAACTTTAATATTTACTTGATCAGGCCACCACATATTTTCTCCTTCAGAATGGCTTGGGAATTCAAACTGTCAACCTTAGAATTCTTTAGCACTTAATTGTTACTTGCTACCAAAGCTCCTTATAGCTACATTAATGTAACATTATATGGGTATGTTAATGTAACATTAAGGTATAGAGCATTTTCATGATTTCTAGAAAGTTCCTTCTTTTTCTTTCACAGTTTGCTGGCCAGTGGTATTCATTCATCACTGATCTTCTTATCATTAGACAGATTAGATTTGTGAGCTCTAGAATTTCCTTTAAGGGGCAGCATATAATATGTATCTTTTTGCCTTTTGCATCTAGCTTGTCTTGTTCAACACAGACATTTTTCTTATATTCTCTGCTCTTAGCCAAGATACATGCAATATCAGCTCCTGTGCCACAGCCTCTTCTGAATCCAGCTTTTATTTCTGGTAGTTCCCTTTCAATGTACTGTTCTAGCCATGACTCCCATTAGTTTTTTTAAATACATAGAATTCAACTGTATATTATTTGTAGTAATTTATTTCATTAGTACTTGGTTGATAGACATTTTGCTTTCCTCAACTATTTCTTGCCATAATCAGTGCTGCTTTGAACTGCCTTCCATGTACATCTTAGTGTATTTTATCTAGATAATATCCTAAAATAAGTCCCTAGGAAGCATCAAGCTTAATTTTGGAGTCTTCATGGCTGCCACCTGAATTCTCTTCACATTAAATAATAATTCCCATCTCTCCAGTGAGCTTCACTGTTACCATAGGCTAAAAGAATTTTGTCATCAAAGGAAAAAAATATATTTTTTAGTAAATTTTTTTACAAAATATTTCTCAAAATTGCAGATACGGTCTTATCTACTGATCCTCAAGAAAAAGATGGGGAAGGGCCACCTGGCACATCTCAACAAGAATCCCCTGAAGGATTCACAGATGCAAAACATGAGTCACTGTTCAGCTTGGAGACCAATTTTCTTGAAGAGGAAAGTGGAGACACCTCTTCTCTGCAAGTATCTCAAGGTTGGAGCACACAGCATGTGGTGTTTGAATTCACCTGGTACTTAGTTTAAGGGCAGTGCCCTAACACAAGTTCAATCTCCTGATGTTAAAATGAGCAACAATAAAAGACAGTTCGGCAGCTGTATCTAGGGCTGGAAGAGGAGACCTCTCAAAGAAACTCAAGTGTTTTTCAGTGGTGAGACCATGTTGGGAGGGAGGAATGTTTAGAAGAAGAAATAGTTAGAGAGTGGTACTGGGGAAGGCTGGCTCCCCAGTCCTCACCTTTCCATAATGACTAGTGAACATGCTTCTAGTTTTCTGCGTCATTTCTGTGAGACCCAGTTGTAGTTATTTGATTAATACAGGGAACCTCAGAAGCCCAGAGTCTCCTATCTCCTGGAACCTCTTGGCGGTACCTCTATGTCCAGATAGCAGTCACTTGGACATGGTTGCTTGTAACAGGTTCAGAAAGGCCTGCACTCAGGTGGGCATGCTGACTTGGTCTTGCTCTGTGTTTCCACTGCCTTCATTGAATCAATGCCGTTCTGTTGGCTGTGGTTTCTGGTTATAGTTCAGAATTACATTGAAAGTGAAGGTGGGAAATGCATCCTGTAATGTTTAGAATTTCAGGCTGAGCAGTTAAGATTTTCATCAGTTTTTGAAGTAATAGGTTAGAGAAATGCTTTAGGAAGATGAGTTTCTCAGAAGCCTTTTTTTATGCTCCAAATGAAGATAAAACCCAAACCTATAGTGGTTAAGTCAATTTTGACTCAAATTGACCCTATAGGACAGAACAGAACTGCCTTATAAAGTGTACATAGCTATACATCTTTGTGGAAGCATCTTTTCCAGTGAGCCAACCTTTCAGTTGGCATCTGGATGATTAAGCACTTCCACCAGTCTCCTTCCTAGACAGTAGGCCATTTAATGACAAGAAAAACATTATTTTCCATTGACTCACAGCGCTCTGACATTCTTTATTTCTGCATTAGATCCATTCCAGCAACATGTGAATAAAGAACTGAAAGAAAAGGAAATTCAGGCTGTTGCCACAAATCCTAAAACTACGAGCCAATTAAAAGTAAGTACTTCTTGGTCATCCCAGTCACAAATGGAGAACAGTGCTGAATGAACATTGATCTTAGGTTCTAATGGTCCTCACGTATGTGACACTCACTGATGACAGATTTGCTCAGGAGCAGGACATGAGAAGGCTGAAAGCCTAGGGGAACACAGTTTTGAATGGTAATGGGAAGCTAGAGTGGAGAGCCCCATAATTGAGAGAGTAGGAACAAGTGGTATTTCAAACACGTACACCAGGTGTTAGACTGACATCCGCCTGGGCTTTCCCATGACCTATGTTGGTTATTCAACCTTTTGGATCTTCACTGTCCTCAACTATTAAAGGGACAGAAATGTGTACATCAAAATTAAGTAACTCACTGACTAGAACTTAGTAAGGGAGCTCTGTTAGCTTAGTGACAAGGAGTTATGCTTTCAAACCAAAGGCACACAGTTTGAATCCACTAGCTGCTCTGCTGGAGAAAGATGATTAGTGTTTTCCCATGTACAGCCTCTGAAAGCCCTCTAGATGGCCGGCTATGAATCAGTTCTGACTCCATGGCACATAACAATAGAACTTACTTAGTGAATGTTCAGGAAATAGTTTCTACTATTGTTGTTTGTTTTAAATCTCCAAGTTCATAACTAAATTATTTACATGCAGGGTAGTTTTTGCAGCCTATTTAATTATTTCCTACTACTGATAGCGACTGTCATGGAATTGGACATCTTGTTTAATTGAAATTTTTGCTGATCTAATTACAAATCCCCACAAAGTTCTAAAAAACTGGTAGACATCCTTTGTACCCTTTACCTTGTTTTCCTTAATAGTGATGTCAAGTTATAGTGCAGTGTCACAACAAGGCATTGTCCTTGATAAAATCTCCCTATTTTACTAAAATTTCCCCAGTTTCCTGCTTCTGTGCATGTTTGTATTTAGTTCTGTACAACTTTATCATATGTGTAGGTCTCTGTGTCTGTCACCAAAGTCGAGATCAAAGACTTCCAGCACCTTAAGAATCCCTCTTTTTATTTTTTAAAATTATTGTTTATTTTTTCTTTTTTATTAAAATTTTTATCATTCATATACATTGTGTTTTATGCATGTACACTGTGTTCCATACAGTCCGCCATTTACATTATATTTCGTTCATTTATATTGTGCGGGTTTTTTTTCTCCTTTACAATCATCCTACCAACAACTACTTTTGTGAAAGCGTGTAAGCCAGCTA